TTCAAAGTGCCAGGCTCAAGGGGCTAGGCGAAAGCCCCTCAACCTTGGAATCCAGCTCTGTCTCCTGCTCCCAGCCCACTGGAGCTAGAGGCATTTCTTTACTCAGACAGCTGCTGGCTGCTGAGGCTGAGAAGCCTAAGGTTGACAAGTAAAAAAGGCACAGTCCCGATGTAACCAAACCACATGGCAGGCCATTAATTTAAGTCCATTGTTAAGTCCCAAGGTTGGCACAGCGTGGCAGGCTGCTAAACAGTGACATGGCTACATTCAGGGTCCAAGTATGCCATAGGCTACAGACCATTCTCAAAGCTGCTTCTTATATACAGGCAGCTGACCACATACCCAAAGCAGCTACTCAGCTGCCTGTAGTAGATCCCACCATGGAGCTGACTGCTAATCTCATCATGGGGAATAACTACCAACAGCTGCCCAGGCACTCAACCAGGCCCAGCCAAGTTGACACACAAACATAACCACCACAGACATTAAGCAACGTGTATCTCTAGTAGTATCTTAGGAGATGTGAGGAGGTTACACCTACTGGCTAGTAGGCTATTACAGGTAACACTGTGGATTTCCCCTACCCCTGAAAACACCCTCCTTCTACCACCCAGTGGGTTAAGAAAGCCAGAGAACTGTTTGGCAAACAGGATGAGCAGAATGCCAAGGAGTGATGCAGAATGATCTCACACCTAAAAACACATCTCCTTGTCTCCTATTATTTCTCCCGTCAGCAACAATGTTGCCTCATATGCATGTGAGAGCTGGACAATGAATAAGGAAGACTGAAGAAGAATTGATGCTTTTGAGTTGTGGTGCTGACGAAGAATGTTGAGAGTTCCATTGACTGCTAAAAGATCTAACAAATCTGTCCTGGAGGAAGTGTAGCCAGAATGTTCCTTGGAGGTAAGAATGGCCAGACTTCGTGTCATCTACTTGGGTCATGTTGTCAGAAGGGACCATTCCCTGGAAAAGGATGTCATGCTTCGTAAGGTGGAGGGTCAACAAAAGAGGGGAAGACCTTCAACAAGATGGACTGACACAGTGGCTGTGACAATGGGCTCAAGTATAGCGAGGATCATGGAGCTGGTGTGGGACCAGGTAGTGTTTTGTTTGCTGTGCATAGGGTTGCTATGAGTTGGAAGGACTCAATGACACCTAATACACAGTAGTGAGATCAAAAAGTCTTCACTTATATCCTTAATTAGATCCTCCCAACAACCCTGATACAGTAGTTCACGTTTGGCAGATGAAGAAATGGAGGCTCAGGAGTTTGAAACTTGGTAGGATCAGAAAGCAAGTCAACAGTACAGTGGGAGCTCAAATCTTTTCATTCCCAGTGCCATTTCTTGACTATATCATAACACTCCCTTCCCTGTAATAAACTTTGCTTTATTATTATTTATAAATTAAGAAATATAACTTGTATATATTATCTAATATCATCCATCTTGGTAATGTTTCAGCTTTTTGGCACAATACTATACTCAATTCCATAAATACTGATTCAGATACACACATTCAGGAGTGAGACAGCTAAAAACAACTGCTATACTACACTGAGGGAGCTCTGGTGGCATAGTGCC